GAGTATACGCGTGCTTTTATTTGCGGTTTGAGACAACACCTTTTCGCTCCAATGTATTGCAACGCAAAACTGTAGAATTAAAGTAATTCAGAGCCATCTTAGTGTTGATACGTTCAAAAAACATTGAGCTAGATTTTAAGGTATCGGTCACATGATGAACGAGTAACAACGCCACTTTTAGTAGTAGCATGTAGTAGTATATAGGGTAAAGATATTGAACATATCTTACTCACAAATTTATATTTATCGTTCACTATAAAAGAAAGTTAATCATCCGTAATTTAATGACTGTATTTTCTGCATACATAATCGCACGTTTGCCCAGAAATTCTCAATTGTTTTTCAAAAAAAATGCGTTTTATTAGATCTTTTAAACTATGTTTTTAACTTTAAAGGTCGTTAAAAAGTAGACTCTTAGTTTTTGTCCTTAAAAAGTAACCTGCTTGCCTTTCATTTATAAATATTATTATTAGTAGACTGTCCTACGATACTTTTAATTTGTCAGTGACGCAATTAATGTCAAGCCAAAAAGAATATTTTCAACTTAAATAAAAGTTAGTCATGTTAAATAGGAACAGTCACCATACATCTTAGGGACATGTAGGAATCATTACGTCGCGGCTAATATTACAGTTTCCGTGTGGCAATGATATGAAAGGGAATCTCATAAAAGTGCCTTGTCACTGCTCACTTTTAATGTACAAAACATTTCTATTTTTGTGTCATCTCCCTCAAATTAATTGTAGTTTACACAGGAACTTGCAACGACTGCTGATGATTTAACGCTTGTTCTATTTGGCAAAGATACACGTCAATGAAATGATATTTTGATTTACGATGGACGTAAAGTATCTATTCGAATTAAGGTTGCACGCAATCTATTCAGGAACCTAATACAAATGAACCTGATATTGTTTCTGGCGGAGAAACTGTGTACAGAGGCGTGGACGTTCGAGAAATTTCCGAGCACGAAACCCTTGCTTTATTAACTGCGTTGGTAAGTTAGTCAAAGAGCAACGTAAATAAGATATTAATTGACATATTTTCTTGGAGAAAATGTCGTCTTTTAAGGTTGAACTTTCTTTAGAGTGATATTTCATCACGCTTAGTCGTGGCTCCTGGTGTTTCCATGTGAGTGCTTCGCATACACGTTTTATGTTTTTCCGGCCCTTGGCAATTTCTGAATATTTCCCCTTGTGATGTGCAGTATTTTGCAGGAGTGAATGTCGGTTATATTATAAATTTGCGTGCGAAAACAGTGGGTGTATAAATTCGTGCTTGTCGCTGACACCATGTTTTCCCGCGCTCAATAGTGAATATAAATTTGCCGGTTTCAAATTTACTTACTTAATTTATTACCAACGTTTGAATGGCTAACTTCAGCCACCACCGCGCAAAGATCCCATTGCCTTCTCAACAGTACACCAGAGGTCACTCGAAGAACTTAATAAAAACTTATCACAACAAAAATCATAATCCGAGGTGGATTCTCGCTAACGAGTTCACGTTCTTACATGTATATGAGAAGACAAGAGTAGAGTGACTTAAAATAAAGGGAAAATATGGTTGCATTCGATTGAAAGTGGCCCAAATTTGTACAAGTTGTTATTTTTATCTTGAAGATTTAAATCCTCACCTACGCAACAACAACTAATAACGAATAACAAAACCTAAGTATTATGAATGAAAAGATAGATAATCAGCAATAATCCAACCAAAAAATTCAAAATCATTATTTGAGCAGGCAAGAAGAAAAGAAAAATAACAGACACTAAAAAACAAAAACCAAAACATTCTGAGTAAAAGTTGTGCTTAAAATGTGACACACTTTCTTCCTCGAAACAATGAAAATTAGAGAACTGGAAGCGGTATATTTCCGACGACAATTTATCCCATGGCGTCTTTTCGTCCATTTCGGTAATTTATCTCTTTTTATTTACTTCTTTTTTCACAAAATTATGTTGACACAAAAGTGTGGAATCCTGTCTTGACAAGAGCTAATTCGCAACGACGAATTTTAGCGCAACATAGCATTGCAATGTTGGAACAATGTTGTAACTATTCGAAACAATGTCGCAACAATGGTGTAACGCTGTGTTGCGCTAAAAGTCATCGTTGCGAATTGTCCCGTGTAACATCACCTTAAGGCCGCGTCCACACGGATCCGGATGATTTTGAAACGGCATATTTTTTACCCGAATCGACCTTCACCCTAACCCTAACCCTAAAACAGCATTCTTTTAAAAAAAGATAGACCCCGACCACGACCTCGCGTTTTACTAACACCCCCTAAGGGTACTTATGGAGACGAAGTACTCGTGTATAAGATAACCAGAGCATACAGCTGAGCATACTTTGAGCAAAATCTCAGTTAAAAACGTTAGAAGCCCTTTGAAGCAAAGTGGAAGCATTGAAAATGTATATAACAAGTACTGAGAAAAAGAAATTTAATTCTACCATTACAATTGACGCCTGGAGACGTCTGGTTCATACTTTCTTTGATTCTTGACACCGAGGATATACGGTCAATGATAAGAATCTTCGTCAATATGCATGTGACCTACCTACCTATTCTTAGGAAAATTTCCTTCAGTCTTCCTTGGGACAGCCAGTGATACGGAGTTTTGCACACCACTGTGACTTACTGAAAACGGCGACAACGAGGAACCCGCGAGGAACATTGATCAAAGTGACGGCCACACTAATCCATTGCAAGAAAGAGATAGATGGTACGTGAGTAAATTTTGGATTGCGTTGTCAGGATAAAGATGTAGAAAATGAGTTTATTTAGGGCGCTTTCCATTTGCCAGAACTGACCGGCCAGGCATTTCTCGTCGTAATGAGCCAAGCTGAGCTAGAATTTCACTTTTAATCAAAAGAAAGCTATCCAGCCTGGTCAGTCAAATCCTAAATAGCATGCACGAAGAAAATCGTTTTTCATCAAAAACTCTTGGAAAAAGCCTATTTCATTTTCAAAATAACAGGTCCAGCCATGGTCCGACCGGCCAGTTCTGACTTTTGGAAAGCGCTGTAAATATTTGTCAGTCACCGTGGTTCTCAGCTGGGATTGCTTTTTGTATATCTGCACTGTGTGTCCAACTAAGATGGAGTGGTTTTTGTAAATTGTATGGGCACGTTTCATTTCTGTACTTCTTTACTTGCTTCCATTACAAGCAAGATGAACAGGGCATAGAATAACGTGCACACTCTTTGGCTAATAAGACCAATTTGACAGACTTTAAATGTCACTCTTTTTAGATCAGCAAACTAATGAACACGGGACCATCAGAAACTATCAATTTACGTTATTAGAATCTTCTTATTAGAAGGCGAGAAGGGAGGTTGTGTATGCGATCGCTTGATATAAATCCTGAATCAGAAACTTCATTGTTGTTTAAGGATATTTAAGTTATTTATATTCAGCATTCAGCTTTGCGACGTAGCTCATAACATATACCCATTTTAATCCTGTTGCATTTCGATTCAAACTACGATGGTCAAGAATATATTCCACAAAATATTCAAAGGCAGATCAATTTATTGTAATTAAGTATTTACTAACTAAAGTATCTTCTCTTAGTAGTACTGCCGCAACGGTCAAGTGTATAAAATTGAGGACAAATTGATGAAGAGTTATATTTGCTTATTGTTTTATAATAGACCAGTACTTAAATATTCCGCTCTACTTAAGACTCACTTGACGTAAAATTTGTTCAGTTTCAATAATTTTCTATCAACTGGAAATTCCCGGATAGCAGCGATAAATTTGGGTGGTATACTAGCACCAGGCCCCCTCCCTGTACTCGATTCGCGATAAAATATACACGAGGTTCGGTCTATAATCATACTTTTGTCTAATGGTGTCCTATTGAACGGAAGCGTGTTGGCAAAATGCCGATTTCCACTAAAGAGAATGTATTTTCTACCTCCCTAAATAAAATTAGTAAATATTTTGAGATAAAAAATAACATAGAAATACCAAATGTTAGAGTAAGTGTAAAAAATTGAGTTCCCTATAGTCTCCGTAGCAGTCGCAAAAAGGGGATGGGTAGGGAGAGAGGGAAAAAACCGCGCGCCCTCCCTTCCCTTCCTCCCACTCCCCTACCCTTTTCGATGCCCGCTACACAGGCTAAAAGTCCCTAATGTTCTTGATTCTTCCTTTTAAAACAATTTAAATTCATTTGATGACAATTCTTTTTCTTGAAGCGACGCAAGGCCTGTGAGTTCAGGAAGACGAGGCGTTTCAATAAGAAGCCATTCCTGCAGCTGCGAGAATAAAATTTTCCTGGCTCAGAACTGTTTTGCAGGATTATTCCCTAACTTCTTTTTCGTGCGTCCTTGTTTTTCAGCCTGTGCCCAAAATAATAGAAACAAGGCTTTGCTAAATGGAATTTTAATTTCCTTTGAGAGCCACGAGCATGTTTTCATTTAATACTTTGCCTGCGGTGAAATGAACACGGGGTAAACAAGGCGGCGCATCGGAGAAATTGCTTTATAATTGTTGCCCGCAGCTTTTAATGTCAAGTAATTACTTTAAGATCGTTTTCTCTCTTTTAATTGCTGCAATGCTACAAAAAGAAATTTGAAAGGTAATTGTTTGTTTGACCATAAATAGTAATAAAAAGTGACATAAAATCAGTTGTGTTGCAGATAAGTTATCTATTTTTAAAAATTCCTCAAACTATGTCCTTGAAAGGTGCTCTTGTTAAAGAAAAAGGTCTATATGTGAGGAATAATTTGATACTGATTTTTGATTTAACTTAATATTTAATCTCCCTTAATGGGCAGGTTTATTGTTGTTGAATTTGTCTTTTTCCACAGGTTGCTCTAATTGGATGCCCTTGAAAGAGAATGACGGAGAATGCTTCAAGTACAGCATTCATTTAATGACGAATTTGTGATAGTTTTAAAATGGGAAAGCAAAGCCGGGGTTGTTGTCCAGCAACAAGGCGTCCCTCGTACAGCTGAGTTACAATTCACACAGGCCATTTTTCAGTTATATGCATCAGGAGATGGGGAATAATTCGCTACTGAACAGCACAATCGAATCACATTTTACGTGGCTACATATAACAGAATACACCATATTCACAGTTGTGTTTGTCATTAGTGTGGTGGGCAATGTTCTCGTCTGCCTGGTCATATTTAATACACCTCGAATGCGAACAACCCGAAATTATCTGCTGGTGAACTTAGCCGTGTCTGATTTGACGGTGGTGTTGCTTTGTATTCCGTTTGATGTTGTTCTGAAGGTAGCGCAGCCCTACTGGCCATTGGGAGCTGCCATGTGCAATATTCTGTGGCCTGCCATGACTTTAGTGACTAACTGCTCATCCTTCACGCTCGCCGCGATAAGCTTGGACAGGTAGGACTAACTGCCTAATTACCTCAAGTAACATCCCGAAAAGTATGTTGCAAAGTGCCTCATTTCAGGGCAAAAATGTCAAGCGTTGTAATTTATGTCAGAGATGAGTATAATTGATTTCTTTTTTTAAATTTGAGCTTGTGTAAATCATGGCTGTTTCTTCCTTATCATTTTTTTTTTCTACTGAATGCACGTCTCTAAATAAAAGTGTTGAAAGTAGTTTAAAAACTCTTGAAAGTCATAATCTTGAAAACGCGTTCCGATTATAGTGTTTCTTTAACTTATGTTAACTATATTTGCAGTTTTGCCCTCGAATCAAACACTTGTGAAATTTTTAAGTACTTTTATATTGGCAACGTTTTTGACCATTTTTATATGTCACTACTTGTCCTACTCGATAACAGCGTTCATAATGCAAATTCCCGATTAGAATATGATTCCAAAAAGCCCATACCATTTTTTTAAAAGAAATCATTTTGACAGCTAAATTACAAACAAAGAACAAGTTATTGTTTAAGCTGGAAACAAAAATGGATATTTTTTCCTGTATAAGTAGGAAAATACTTCCTGGATGAATGGCGTCATCACGTCAGGATGAATGCATTTCAAGATTATTAATAATCACCTTTTGATTTTGACAGTTTCAATGCAATCAATTCGTTCGAGATATTGCAGCTTTTGAAACTAAGTGGGACCACACTTTCTGTCAATTGCATTTTAAAAATGATGTTGGGAATTATTTTTAAGAGCTACTTTCTCACTTGATTCTCAGATATCGCGCTGTTGTACATCCCTGGAAGCCCCGTTTTTCCTCATTCCAGACAGCTGTAATCGCCGCCTCTACGTGGTCTCTGTCATTCATCCTTGTGCTGCCATACGCACTGGTGCTTAAAATTCAAAACGGTTACTGCGACGAGGACTGGCCACACCCTGACGCTGTCAAGGCGTACACGATGGGTTTATTCGTCTTCCAATATGCACTACCGCTTCTAGTTATCACTTGGGCCTACATCATGGTAGCGAAGAAGCTGCGTGTCCAAGCTGCTCGCATCGCCAGAAATTGTCATATAAATGGTATTCGGACATCGATTGGTGGGAAGACCAATAATCATGGACGAAATGTCAGTCTACTTCAGCCTGCTAGCGATGTGCTGTCTTCGTGTTCTCCCCCTGAGAGACGTTTTTCAGGAAATTGTAAGGAGAGTAATGTCCATGTTAAACAGGAGCTCGTTCCACTGTCTGTCGATCCTCCTGCATGCAACAAAAAGGAAATGAAACGTCTGGTACGAACAACCAAGATAATGAAAATGCTGGTGACTGTAGTTGCGTTTTACGCCATATGTCTGCTTCCAAATCAGGTGGTGTGGCTGTGGTACGAGTTTGGTACTGCGGAAACATGGCCTCATTTTCAGACATTTCTCACATTTGGAAGCATCATGGTTTATGTAAACAGCTGTGTGAACCCATTACTTTACGCCGGTATGAATGAAGACTTCAGAAAAGGGTTTACAAAATTACTTGTCTGCAAATGGAAGAATTTTGGTAACGCATTTGTTTAAAGATACCATCTCGCGTTGTGAAGAGCTGAAAGTGATGAAATCAGGTTACTGTGATAGTCTCCTACTTAAGAATGTGTATACGTCTTTAAGAATATTTCGAATACACAGGTCAAAAGTTATTTAGTATTCAATATTTAATTTAACAAAAAAAGTTTAACTGTAGGAGCCGACTAAAGTGCGAAACATGAATTGTAATGAAAACAGTTGTAATTAGAATCACCATCAGGAGAAACGTGAGAATTGACATGCAGCTATGTATAAAAGTTAAATTTACTTGCGGGAGTAATTCACTCCAATTTTGAATATTGGCCCTTAAATTCTTAAGTAATGGACATCATAGTTATATTTAAAATACGTACTGTTACTGTAAAAGTTATGACGAACGAAACTTGAAGATACGAGAGCCGTTAACTACCTCCCCCCCCCCCCCCCCCCCCCTCCCCGCGGGAGGCCCCCCCCAACAAACACAGAAAAAAAAAAATTGAAGAAAAACATGCCATATCCGACAAAATAAGAATCAGTATCAAGCTAAGCTTTTTTCTTTTTTTTTTTTTTTTGTTCTTGTATTAAAATCCTTTTTATTCGTCTTCCAATATGCACTACCGCTTCTAGTTATCACTTGGGCCTACATCATGGTAGCGAAGAAGCTGCGTGTCCAAGCTGCTCGCATCGCCAGAAATTGTCATATAAATAGTATTCGGACATCGATTGGTGAAAAGACCAATAGGCATGGACGAAATGTCAGTCTACTTCAGCCCGCTAGCGATGTGCTGTCTTCGTGTTCTCCCCCTGAGAGACGTTTTTCAGGAAATTGTAGGGAGAGTAATGGCCATGTTAAACAGCAGCTCGTTCCACTGTCTGTCGATCCTCCTGCGTGTAACAAAAAGGAAATAAAACGTCTGGTACGAACAGCCAAGATCATGAAAATGCTGGTAACCGTAGTTGCGTTTTACGCCATCTGTCTGCTTCCAAATCAGGTGGTGTGGCTGTGGTACGAGTTTGGTACTGCGGAAACGTGGCCTCATTTTCAGACATTTCTCACATTTGGAAGCATCATGGTTTATGTAAACAGCTGTGTGAACCCACTGCTTTACGCCGGTATGAATGAAGACTTCAGAAAAGGGTTTACAAAATTACTTGTCTGCAAATGGAAGAATTTTGGTAATACATTTGTTTAAAGATGCCATCTCGCCTTGCGAAGAGCTGAAAGTGACGAAATCAGCCAAGGTTACTGTGATAGTCTCTCACTTAAGAATGTGTATAGGTCTTTAAGAATATTTCAGATACACAGGTCAAAAGTTATTTAATATTCAATATTTATTTAACGAAAAAAGTTTAACTATAGGAGCCGACCGAGTGCGAAACATGAATTGTAATGAAAAAAATTTTAATTAGAATCACCATCAAGAGAAACGTGAGAATTGACATTGAGCTATGTATACAAGCTAAATTTACTTACGCGAGTAATTCACTCCGATTTTGAATATTGACCTTTAAATTCTTAAGTCATTGACATCATAGCAAGAGAGAATTTTGCATCATAGTTATACTTAAAATACGTACAGTTACTGTAAAAGCTATGACGAACGAAACTTGAAGATACGAGAGCCGTTAACCCCCCTTAGCTTTCGGAACTGATCATGACCCGGCAAATTACACAGGGAAAAATTAAAATTAAAGGTGACTCGCCAATATCTAAAAACTAGTATACATCTTCGATCATCGTTTATTTCATTTCATTTCATTTTTTCCCGTCTTTAAATATGTCGCTGCTTCTAGGCTCGCTCCATGTTATCAAGACAGTCTTGTATTCTGGATTCCTTGCCGTGTCAGTGTATTCCGGATTCCAGGTGGATTCTTGATTCCAATCTTAAATTTCAGATTTCACAAGCAAAATTTTCCTGGATTCTGGATGCCCCAATATTCTTCCCGCATTCCGGAATCCGGAGTCCCTTACATGGGGCGACAGGGCCGTGCCATTTTACTCTAGCATTTATTAGGCCTCGATGATTGTCTTCCACAAACAGTAGCCTGTTATCGACATCTCCTTATTGTCCTTATTTGCAAAGTAAGGAAAGACTATTTTTCGAAATTATGCCAGGAATTTTATTTGCCCCCCGTTGGTACACGATCAGAATTGTCAGATTTATCTTGTCATGATGACCACACGGTTGTTGTTGTTGTTTTTTTTGTCAAGTTCATAGACGGTGGAATCAACACGGCCGCGGGCCGCCTTTCTAATGAGAGGGACCGTTTTACCAACAACAAAACGACACACATATACGATCGACATCGGTTTTCGCGCGACTTACATTCATGCTACTTAGCACAATGGTCTCAACCGCTGGTTCCTGGGCTCATAATTTAGGACAGATCGAGTAGTGCAATATTAAGTCGTTAAATTGTCAAACGAATTCCGCTGATTGAAAATGTTCAAAACTGAGCAATGGCGGCCGAATATTCTTGCAACAGCGGCTTCCAAACAATGGGTCTTGGAACAAATTAAAGCCAAGGACGGCTAAAATATCAGACGGACAGCGTATTTTGGGATTTTAACGTGGACTGCTGCCTTCATCGGTGCCATTTTTAGTGTTTTTCAAATGCCCAAACCACACATCAAAATCAGGCAAAATCTATCGGATGATCAGATGAAAATTGTGAGGTTAGTTTGTTCTATGTATAGTTGTAGTAAATCTACTTGATCATTTCGTCGATTTTGTTAAGTTAACTCGCAGTCGCTGTTTGAGTTTTCGGTCTTTCGATCAAATCCCCCTTTAAGCCTTACATATGTTTTGGCTGTTAAGCTGCTAACAGGAAAATGTAAAATGTATTAATTTTTTTACGGTATCTTTGTTGATACACCAGTTTACATTAAACCGGTTACACTCTTTACCAAAACAAAACTCTCAACAGGTATTTCTCGAAATTCTCAATTTTAGTCTTCGTTGTTGTTGTGTTTGCTTCCTTGACTCTTCCTTGGTCAATTTACTGAACGATTTGTCGATCGCTGGCTCAAACAGCTCGAAATGTTCCCGATTTCTAGTAACCTTTCAGCTTAGTTAAAAGTTTCTTTAATACTGTAAGACGTGACAGCCATCCGAAAGACTTGGTTGGAAATCAGTTGGTAAATAACAGGGACTGTGGACTACGGACTACGGACTACAGAATGGACTTCAGGACTACTGCCCATAGTCCATTTTTTATAACTAGTCCATGTTTTATACCCCGCTGGCTAGCCCACAGTTCGAATTCCGCAGTCCACGATCCACAGTCCATGCTGTTTCATACTGACAGGTCAGCCTAATACACAAGAAAAAGCCTGAATTATGATGAACATAATTTATGTCATCTCTTGTCATCCGATATACTGAGTTTTCTTTCAAACTAGATCCAAGCTATGCTACACTAAGAGCGCTTTCCATTTGTCACAACTGACTGGCCAGACCATTCCCATCATGGTGAGAATTTCACTTTTAATCAAAACTATCCAGCTAGATCAGTCAAATCCTAAATAGTGTGCACAAAGGAAATGGTTTTTCAGCAAAAACTCTTTGAAAAAGCCTATTTCATTTGCGAACTGACTGGTCTGGTCATGGTCCGGTCGGCCAGTTCTGACATTTGGAAAGCGCCCTAAGTGTCTAAGGTGTTTAATGGTGTTGCAGAAACTATTGTTGGTTCTCTTTTGTGTTGTGGTGGGGGTATTGGTTGGTGTCTTTTCAATCTACTGTATTACGTCATTTGTGATTGCACACATCTATGACACAAAGAAACTACCAGTGCCTTCGAGATATATATTTATCTTACGGGGTTCATCATGGGTTGTCAGCATTAAAGGGGACAGCTTGAACTCTGGTAACAGGCGAATTTATCCATCCACCAGCGTGCAAAGAAAGTAGTGTCTGATAGCCTGGGGCGGGTGGATTTTGAAAAGACATCTGGGCTAGTAAATGCTAGCTTCAGCTTACCCGAATGGCAAGCTGTAAAAATTATTTTCTTTGAACCCTGAATCCACATATTTCATCAAATGAACGGATAACAGTCTTCTTAAAATCCTGTCGTGTTGTGCAAAGTCATTTGCAAAGAGGTCTGCTGCTGCTGACTCCTTATCGGCACGACTCGGTTGGTGTTCCTCTTTCTGCAACACAAAGTTTGTATCAAGCCGTTACGAAATCGTTGGCTTTGAAAGCTGTAGATAATTGGATTGATTGTAGAATTAAATGTGGCGAGGGCAATAGTGATTTTATGATTCAGCGAATGAACCTTTTCTTTTCCTGGAATCGCATAAGCCAGAAAGTATACCACTACCGTAGGAACCCAACAAATGACGTAAACGATGCTGACGGCTAGAACCATTTTCGTGACACGTTTTCGTGAACGGAGCAATGCTTTTTGGGTCTCATCTGCATTCGGCTCCTGATTGAACCAAAGGCGAAACACGACCTAAAAGCAATAAACATTTATCAACAAATGAACTAATTATCTTGCAAAAAAGTGTTAGATGTTTTGAAATTCTTCATGGCCAACTGACCGATGTAGTCAGCACTGTGATGGACCCGTAACAAATTAAGTGACAACATATTTAGTTTTAAAATTTTACACCCAGAAATTCGTGAAGAATAATAGTTTTTCCCTGCTTTATGTTGCTGGAGACATGTAGAGATATACCCACATACCACCAGCTAACCCAGGAATCATGTTGAGGGATTTCCAGGCGTTTTGACATGCAAAACATTTGTGCGTGAAAGATCTCTATTGAAGCATTCGAGTGCAGTCCTGAAAACGACTGTAAGTGACAGCGAATGGCGTCGGTTAATAACTTGTGTCTCACCAGAATCCAAGTCAGGGTCAAATTTGATTCTGATGAGATCCTTGACCAACTGTCCTATTCAAGACTAAACTCACCCGGGCTTGACCGCTTGACCACTCGAGCATAAACTATTTACAATGTAGTNCTGGAATCGCATAAGCCAGAAAGTATACCACTACCGTAGGAACCCAACAAATAACGTAAACGATGCTGACGGCTAGAACCATTTTCGTGACACGTTTTCGTGAACGGAGCAATGCTTTTTGGGTCTCATCTGCATTCGGCTCCTGATTGAACCAAAGGCGAAACACGACCTAAAAGCAATAAACATTTATCAACAAATGAACTAATTATCTTGCAAAAAAGTGTTAGATGTTTTGAAATTCTTCATGGCCAACTGACCGATGTAGTCAGCACTGTGATGGACCCGTAACAAATTAAGTGACAACATATTTAGTTTTAAAATTTTACACCCAGAAATTCGTGAAGAATAATAGTTTTTCCCTGCTTTATGTTGCTGGAGACATGTAGAGATATACCCACATACCACCAGCTAACCCAGGAATCATGTTGAGGGATTTCCAGGCGTTTTGACATGCAAAACATTTGTGCGTGAAAGATCTCTATTGAAGCATTCGAGTGCAGTCCTGAAAACGACTGTAAGTGACAGCGAATGGCGTCGGTTAATAACTTGTGTCTCACCAGAATCCAAGTCAGGGTCAAATTTGATTCTGATGAGATCCTTGACCAACTGTCCTATTCAAGACTAAACTCACCCGGGCTTGACCGCTTGACCACTCGAGCATAAACTATTTACAATGTAGTTTCGTCCCTACTTGTGTTTGTCTACCTTACTTTTTTTTACAAACCTTGGAATAGAGAAGGGCCATGATACAAATTGGTACAACGCCGGCGATAATATTCCAACCAAAGCTGTAAATCCTCGGTAGAAGCAGATTGGGCCACTGTTCGCCACAAGTCCGAATATCCTCCCTGTAGGTCACTATCACATATAAAGGAGTCACCCACAACAAGGACAACAGCCATACACCCAGAATTATCAACTTCAGATTTCGAGGCGTTAACCTCTCCTCACGAAACGGATACAAAACTGCAAAGTATCGCTCCACAGATATAGCTACTAAACTATAGATGGAAGCTACCGCTGCTGTAAACGCAGGTGTCCCGCCCGTGATGAACTTGCAGACGTATTGACCAGAAATGCCGTTCGGGTGTTGGTAGGTAGGATTGATTACGAAGCGGACACCAATGAAGACCCCGACTAACATGTCGGCGACAGCCAGGTTTACCAGAAGGAAGTTCATTGGAGTGCGCATGTTCCTTTTTGTAAACACCACAATGATTACCAAAGCGTTTCCCACAAGATTTGTCATAATCATCGCCGAGAATGTTGTAGCAAGGCCAATGTATTCTGCAGAGTCCAACATTGTCCTTGTTGCCTGTAAAAAGTGAAAATAGGAAATTATCAAGGAAGAGGGTTAAATGAAATTGTACAATTTCTTAGTAGAAACGAGGACCGCAAAGAAATATGCTACGGCACCTGTTATCTACAAGCGATCTGATCGGCTTGCTTAAGAAAACATACCATAATGAAATCGGGTGAGACGGATGCTAAACCTTTTCATGATTTCGCCTTTAGTCAACTTGCTAGAATGACGTGTCGGGTGGCTTTAATGTTTTCTTTTTTATAGAGTATACCACCATTTTTTCTGTAGTGATAAGTAAGAAATTGATGAAATGTTTACACAGTGAAATTAACAGCATGAAGAGGTAAAATCCAATGTTTATTCAGGCTTTTGCAAGGTGTTCGATTTTCATGGCAGGTAACAGTTAGGTTTTTCGGGAGTCGGGATCGCAGAGAAAAATAGAGGTAACATACGGGATTTGAGACGAAATTTAGGGGTTTTGCGATCCTTTGAGAATTGTTGTCCTTGAGAACCGAGATCCGGTAGGGAAAGTACCCTGCCTCTTCTTAAATGTAAAAAAAATACTGTTTAATTTTGACTTAACATGCCCAAGCTATTCGTATTTCCCTGGACCTTTCTACACGGCCATTGCGACTGATCCACATTTCCTTTCATCATATTCCAAATATGCTTGTCAAGTTCTCCGGAGATGGAGAAATCTGTCATTTTAAAAAATTCAACTCGTGATCGGAATTAGCCGATAAAAACCCACGGGATCACGGGATTTAAGTGAGCTCCATGAAACTTTTTTTAATTTAGAGTGCCGTCTGGATCTTTTCCGCCCAACAAAGTTATTGACTGGCACCTAATGATTTAAGTTTTACTTTTTCGTCTTTCTCCGTTTGGCTTACAAAATAATCAAACTTTTGTTGGCAAAAGTAAAAATATATCTAGTCAGAATAAATGAAATGTAAACCGAATAGATTTAGTGAAAGGTGGGGTATTATTGTCAAATTGTCGGCTTTTCTTTTTACTGACTAAACAAGTCAGTCACTGGAGAAATACACACTTCGCACAAAAAGCGTCTCTTTACGCATTAATTCCACAGGTCGATATTCAATTAACTAGAATCCGTTACCGTGGGGCCAACAAATTGGAAACAACTGTTAAGTTTTTCAAGATGTCAAGGTTACTATCGCGCCTGAATATTTTGCTGAAAATCGCCCTCCAATCATGCTATTTATAGTTTTCTACAAGACATATTCTGCTTTGCAGAACTTCGATACTGTAGAAACGTCAATTGGCGTGCAAAGTTTACTTTTCAATTTGGCACAAGAACAGAATTTAAGCATCGTGTTATGGGCTCTGATATCAGACTAGCTAGGTCGCGGACGCAAGTGACAAAAAAATGTATTTTTTGTTCAAGAAAAGTTTAGGTTCGCGACAAGTGCATCGAGGTAAGCCAGTCGCAGTAGATAGAAATCCGGATCCCTTTTTTGTCTTAAGGTGAGTAAGGTGAAAAATACAAAAGTACCTCAATTACCTGATGAAGTTGTTAATCCTGGATTTCTTAAGACCGCAGTCTCTGGCTGGCCATTTGCCTGTACTTTCGAAGCGTCAAAATCATCTAAAAAGGTCGAGTATTTTCTTCCGTTGCCACTAAGGCAATTCTCTGACGAAAAAATAAAACTAACCGCTCTGGCTGTCCAATTTTCTATTTTCTTCTCACGGTGAAGCAGATGTTTCTTATTTTCTAGCTTCGTTTGTCATTGGAACACTTAATGTCAACATGAAAATACGATACCCTGTGTCCTTCCGAGGTTTGCTCAAAACTGAGGTAATTAAAATAGCTAAATGTAAACAGTAATGACATATTATGCCACCAGTAGATTCTATTTTCTTTTGACTCTTGTCAGCAGAAGGTAGCAAGCGCATTTTCACTGGATCTAACCAAGAATCGATTCGACCGCTCGCCAACTCCGCCCCTGACCTTATTAGAATCTGGCTCAGGGAAACGGCAAGTATTAAAGATGACTAAATTCTGACGGGAGTGTCTCCTTTCCCGCGAGATTATAGTAACTGCTGGACGTACACTGGAATACAACCCGTATTTTGGCGTTGGTTAAAAACATCGCGCCTTGTAAACCGATTTTGAGAAAAAAAAATAACCACTGCGTTGCAGTTTATGCTGGACGAGTATTAGAAATAATGGGAACTGCTTTTTTCTCTTTTTCTAAAAAGAAATTACTGTCTTTGTGTCATTCATTCTGGGAATATGAAAGTATAGAGTCGTAGATTGCCTTTTTGACACTGTTAAACGATAAGACCTTTAATTAAAGTGGGCATGATATCCTGGAACAATTAAATTTATACTCAGTACTGCCGACGTCTTGATATTGAATGCGTAAATTGAAAAAGAATTTATTAACCTCATAAAGAAATCAATATCATAACAATAACTGCTGAAATAAGGTAAGACAGATAGATATTTAGACCACTTTAACTGAATACGGGGAATGACTGTGAAAATAGTTCAGAGACTACTGCATTTATGTTTCGGTTTGAAACCTGAGTAGTCTTAATTTACGGATCCGCCGGTTTTATAACAGTTTTTTGGCTTAACCTTTTTTGCTCAGGCTGAGAAATAAAATGGCAATATTCTGTAGAAACTGGAAACCCTCGAACGCCGAGTCTTATTACTTAACCTAAATTTTCACAATATGATTTTCATTTAGCGTTGACAAGATGGAAACGCTTTAGATACGTGCATAATCATTCAGCTATCATATCAGACAGAAAGATGGAAGAAAAATGTTCGTGTTTAATTTGCTTTGAAATTTTTGGCAAGTTCTATACGAGAGAGCCAATAACAATGACTACCAACTATAATATTAATAGCTTAGTGAGACAAAAAGCATTATTGATCCTTTGGGTCTAGTCTTGAGGCGCTTAATTCAAGGCAGGAGGAGTTCACTTTCCGTAAATGGCAATTCAGAATTTTTTGTTTTGTTCGCAGTACTTTTTTCCAGACGAAAAGTGTTAATGTATCAGTGATAAGCGCCTTGCACAAGTATATTAAAAGCATCCTTTAAAATCCTGTAGTTGTTGTCTTCGTTCGAGTGGAGGACTGTTGTCCCTGACTTTGTACCGGTATGACCTGATTTCTCCCTCCCTTTCTGCAGCACAATAACTGAAGCAAATTTTGACGGAATCGCTGACTCTGAAAGCTGTAAATGATCGGGTTGACCGTGGAATTCAAGGCAGCTAGAGCGATGGTGATCAAATGAATAGGCGAATGGACAGCCAGCTTGCCTGGCGTGAGATGAGCCAGGAAATACACCACTACTGTGGGAACCCAGCACATGACGTAGATGACGGTAACAGCGAGGACCATTTTGGTGACTCGTATTCTGGAACGCCGCAAGGCTTTCTGAGTTTCGTCTGCGTTTGGTTCCTGATTAAACCAAAGACGGTACACCACCTGTAATAGAAGTAGTTTCAAGCAATATTAACTAACAATCAGAAGTAACAACAGTCTTGCATACCGGATCCAGATCCAAATTATTGCCTCTTTGTAACGATAGAGTTTTTCGGAGGCAATACCGACATTTTTGAATCCCTTTAAAAGTGATTTTATGCTTGTCCGATCGCTCTGAAATTTTTACCACTGACTGATTTTGGATTGAAGTTTGTCAAATTGTAGTTTTAAGTTAAATCGATACCACTATGACAACAATAAAAAAAAATAAAAATTAAAAAATTAAAAACCTAGTTTTGTGCGATCTAGACCCGCTACTGTGTACGTGCAGTATCGCAGTAAGCCAAACAAGTATAATTAATTGGAGACTCCTGAGGCACATTTTCACGACACCTGTTATCTATAACTGTGTAAAGTCAAACCTTTAAGTGGAAAGCTACAGGTTAACTGTAACAAAGGTATTATTACAAACCTTAGAATACAGGAAGGCCATGATAGACATCGGAACAAGTGCTGCCACGATATTCCAACCAAAGCTGTATATCTTTGGTAACAGAGGATTGGACCACTGTTCGCCGCAGGTCTGAATGTCCGCTCGATAGGTCACATGTACAAAAAGAGGCATCACCCACAGGAGCGACAGGCACCAGATACCAAGGATTATCAATCTAAGGTTACGGGGCGTCAACCTTGCCTCACGCAGCGGGTACAACACAGCAAAATACCGCTCAACGGATACTGCTACCAGGTTGTAGACGGACGCCACCGCTGCAGTATACGCGACAGTCCCACCTGTAATGAATTTGCAAAGGTACTGACCGGTTGTTCCAGTAGGATGCTGATAGGTGGGGTTGATGACGACCAGAACGCCAATGAAAATCCCAGCTAACATGTCAGCGACAGCCAGATTAACTAGAAGGAAGTTCATTGGAGTGCGCATGCTCCTTCTTGTAAATACCACGATGATTACCAAAGTGTTCCCCAGCACGTTTGTCAGAATCAAGAAAGTGAACACTGTAGCTAGGCCAATGTAGGTTGTAAAAGACATTGTTCATCTGGCATATCTAAAAAGGACAGTAATAACAACATAACATATGGAATGTTCCCAGCCAAATTGCATCATAGTTATAACCATACTCTGGGTAAAAATATGTTTGTTAGAGCTGTGGAAACTGTTGTTTTGGTGTGGGTATAGTATTTTTGGCTTCTTGGGTATTGTATTTTGTATTGTGTTGTGGTGTGAGTATCGTATGTTTTGTCAGGCATTGTATTGTGTTGTGGACGGTGGGTATCGTATTACTGTCTAGAGGATTTGTTATGCAGTGGTGTAGGTGTCTTACTCTTAGTGTTGGCTACGTATTGTACTGTGCTGTGGTGTGGTCATCGTTATGGTTGCTATAGGTATTGTTTGTTGCTGTGGAAACTGCTTTTAGTTAGTCATTGGATGTTGTGGCGTTGGTATCCGGTATCGTTCAGTGGAGGCTTTTCAATCTCTTTATTACGTAATTTGTTGATCGGACCATTCGAAAATACCATTCTAAAATACAAGCTTTCAAGTGTCTGTGATAAAATGTAAGAGTGAAAAAAAAAAATGCTGGAGAAGAAAAAAAAGGAATGCTACCATGAGTTTAGTCCCCAAAAGACGTCTTTTCCTGCCACGATGGTCGTTCCCTCATAGCGGCGTTCAATAATCAACGAAATGTTACGAATAAGTGCTGAAAGCAACCTCATGTCCTAACTTAGTGCAGGTGGCAACCTCATGTCTTCGCTACCACATCTCTTCGTTACAGGCATGGAAATTATAAAAGGGTCACTTTTGTGGTGAGCATGTACACTTTACAACGTAGAGTGACATGTTAGCATTCTCATAAAAACACGTACTTGTTTCTTGAAATTTTGATGAAAGGTCAAGTTTGATCAGGAGAAAGTAAGGTCGAGAATTGCGCTAACATGGAAAAAGATTGTATTGAATTAAAATTGTCAAATATCAATGTTTCCCAGGTATGTGTTAAGGCTAACCAGCGCATTTGATTAAAACTGTCGCAGTATCTAAACTTTTTTTAAGGATACTCTCTTCGCTTCAGACGTAGATTCCGTTTCCAAAAGACTTTTTATTGAAGAATAGAATTGTTTTGGTCAGTCTGCCGGCTTTAGGTATTTGGTGGGGATACATGTACAGCACTTAGATATTAAACAAGGTTTCAAGGGGGCCTTGGTTTTTGACTCGCGAGAGTTTTTTTTATTGAATACTCACCCGTAAGCAAACAAAAATAATTTCTCTTCATTAAGACCTGTCCTTATCGGAAATATGAAATGACTCAAAAAGTAACTGAACTCAACTTCAGTTGACTAGAATGGTATTTCTTTAAGGTAACTTATACTGGTGACAATTTTCTGACTAAGCTACCTTTTGAAAGGATGGATGGTTAAATCTTATTGTCGAAAAAAAATGTTTTCTTGAGACCAATACAAAAAGCTCTTTGTCCACATGGTGTATGAGTATATAGTACAGTTTGCTGTATTTTGTGTCCTTTTTTAGTTTTTCATTAAAATTTCTGATTCCCTGATTCTGTCAAGTAAATCCATTTCAGTAGTAAATCGAGTAGATCATCAACTTTGTTGGAGATAGGGAAGCGCCCATCGAAAACTAAATCGAAATGGGCTATTATAAATTAACATTAAAAAACATACTAAAAAAAAGTGAACTTTGTTATTCACCAAGTTAGACGTCCACTTTGCAATTTTCTAGTATGACAGTGTGACCAGGACTGTATGTAAAGGGACTCATTTCGTAGTCGTTCATGTTCAGTTCTTGTTTTCTTTTATCTCTTGTTTTGGTTGAAATTGTAATCATGGAACTGAGCAAGCAAATACATGTTGGATAAATAAACGATCGGCAGTTTCCCTACCGACAATGTTACTGACAACTTTAATAAGTAAAACGAAAATCAAACTAGCTTACCTAAATCAATGACAATACTGAGACGTTGCCATTATGCCCGGCTATGAACGAAGAGACTGTGACTGACCCGCAAAATTCTTCCTTTGCTGCTATATAAGTAAGAAGTTGCTACCCAGGCTGATTTCCAGGAAGAAGGATCAAATTCCAAAGAAATTTGTCCCCTCTTTTGTGACCTAAGAGCCAATTTCCTGATCCTATGAAGTCAAACGAATGTCATATGACAATTTCATTGGCGATTGGTCCAAAATCAACGCGCAAGGATGAGAATTAATCATTGTCCTCATGGTTAGGTTTTAGCTAATTAAAGTTACCTGGGTAATGAGTAAATGTTTAATGATATTTACATTTCTTACCCGGTCTACTATCTGGTGTTAATGCTTTAAACTATGTGAAAATATACACATGGTTAATCAGTTTTTTTGAGTTTAATCATAGTAAAGGTTCTCAACAGTAAACACTTGAAGCGGGGATCGGAAAAAATTCAGTTTTCGAAAGTCCGTGGTAGAGATTGCTCTATTGCCGTTTGAATTTCAACGACGCTCAGTCCCGGATGGTCAAATACGTGTTACCGGTAGATGTACTGACCAAGGGAAATCAATGACTGGCATTTTCATTTTAAACATAAATCGAAATAAAAGGTTGAATGAGCTAATAAGTACAACAGATTGTCAATTTTTTAAATCTCATTCTCTAGAATGCAAGACAGTTGTTAAAACGTCTTTCGGATATCTTGACTTCTACGCAAAGCTGTGTAATTGATATTTGAAGTGGTGCGGGTTAATCTAGTTACTGTTCGCTTTCCAGATTGAATTAAAACGTTTTCCCTCTAATTTAAAATATTATTCGTTGGTAGTATGTTATATAAAATGACTAATTTTGTTTGTATTGTGTACTTCTTAATTTGGACCGGGGAAATGTTGAAGAGAGAATGTCCCACTGAAAAAAAGGATTTATTTCGCCACATGTGATTTTCATCACCTGGGCAAAATTCCCTTTACACCCTCGCAGGCTACAAATACGCAGCCACATTTGCATTTTTTTCCCAACCATTATATTCTCTTAGAATTTACGCGTCAGTTATGAACATTGCTTGCAAGATCCGTCATTCCCTTCGAATCGAAAAAAAATATAAAGAACAAAGATAGAAAGTGTCATTTTAAGAAAAATATTATCCCCCCAAAGTTTTTTTGCTAGTTGGCCCAAGTAATTGCAGATGAAGTAACCCTATTTTCTTACACGTTTGACACAGAGGAGCATTTCTGGCGCTTTTCTCCTCCATCTCTAACAAATACGTTTCCGCAAAACTCTACCGCAAAGTTTTAATCTGCCCAAAAAATTCCCTCCAAATTATACTTTTTTCAACCATAGCCATAGCGAGAAATCTAAATCGAGTTAGTTATTAACAAGCATCTCCGCGTGCTCTCTCAAAAATAATGTCCCGAAGGGTATCACCTACGATTGTTTGAGATAATGTAATTTTTACGATTTTTTTAAATTCAAGTCCCTATTACTTCTTGGATTATTGCCCCCTATATATTCCTTTAATGGACGTTTGTGGTAATTTCTTTGCAGCAGCGTGGCAGTTGTTAAATATACCGATACAAATATATTTTCTTTTTTTATTTCAACAGGATTAGTAAGCAGTAAAAAAATCATAAGTTGCACTAACACTGAGAAATCTGCTCCACGTGTTCTCGGCACCTCCCTTCGGTTTTATAGAAATGGTTTTGCTGTCTTTCGTTTAATAAATCACCTCTAGTTAAATCTTCCTTCGTGGCTTTTTTGGTATAACTTTATTTCGGATGTGTTTATTCCGTTTCCACAGCTTCTATTGACACGACATTAGTTCTCAGATGCATCTACAATTAGTATGTCCTTTTTGTTGAAACTCCTTCATTCGTAGCTCACAACAGTTTAAAATATTTGCATATATATTTTTTGTTTTATACTGGTGTAGCTTACAACACATTTACACAAGAAAATTTTGTTGTATAGGGTATATAAAAACTGAGCAGATGCCAATATATGAATTTTTTTGATGAACCCATTTTTGCCAATTTCCCCCGGGCCTCTGTATCAAAACGAGGTTAAGTGCTCAGCCTTTGATATGGAAATGATTTTTCATTCTCATGCAAATAAAACTCATCTTCGCAAGAAAGGTTGTGCACTTGGCCTCATTTTGAAAGTGAGGGTTTTTGGAACTCGAAAGTGGCCTTTTGGACTAGTGATTCTGACACATGATTGGTGGGAGCATTATCTCAGCTACTCCTAAACTTGATGTATGTTTTAGGTGGAGTAAAAATGTCAATTATGATGACTGTCAAGGCCTGTAATACTAATTTTAACTTACTGGCGTAGCTACCTAATTTCTAAGTTGGCCTGGGATTTGTACTAGTATTTTGGCTTCCATTATGACAGAAGTGCAGTTTGTCTTACATACATAATTTATCTTCTCTCATTAAAGCAATTGCACAGTAGACACTTCATTCCTCCCCCCCCCCCCCCCCCCCTGTTACCTAATTTTTAAGTTGTCCTGGGATTTTTAATTATTTTTTGGGTTCCATTTTTAAAAAAATGCAATTTGTTTTAACTAAAAAATTTAATTTTCCCCAATAAAACAATTGCACAATAAACACCTCCTTCCCCCCCCCCCCCCCCCTTTCAGGGTCGCTGCAACAACCCATGCTCTGTCACTGTATTGATTTATATCTCTTGAAAATGACTCTACACTTTTGTATTTAATGCATATATGATTAGAGTGTACTTAATAGTTTTCTTTCTGGTTCTCCAGCTTTCACTGAGATGTATCTGTGATCTTGGAATCAGGAGGAGAATCTGTCTCGGTTATAAAGGGCGAGATAGAACATAACACAGGAAATGCTGATTGGTCAAGGCTCAGACTACCCATCAACTGTAGGTAGAACAAGAATTGCTGAAGGTGCTGGTTTCCATTCCATCCAATTAAGCAACGCCCACATGGAACACTTGCAATCACTGGTATAGCATCAGTGCCCAAGGAAACATAATAGAAAGTTTAAGCAGCGACGTCTTTGAGCGACGCATGACAACCGAAAGTGGATTTTTTG